GCGCCACGGACTCTAGATCCACGGCGCGAGTGTTGACGGACAACTTGTTCGTCGAGAAAGCCTCAGGCCTCACGGACGCTGAAGTGCGTCAGGCAGTAAAGACGTGGCTTAGTGTAGAGGACGACCCAGAGGTGTTGGAGGAAGAAATAGCAATGGAACTGCAGGCTGTAGACGAGCAACTGGCCGGCGTAACCCTCGATGACGATGTACCCAGCGAAGAGGAAGACGACGACGGTAGGTCAGAGTCGTGCGTGACAACGTCGCTTACAGAGGCCGACGTCCGCTTTCGCCTCGAGGAGTGCCGCTCCTTTTTGAATGCGAAAGGGAAGGACGGCGAGTACAGCGAAACGCTGTACCTTCTTTCGAGGACTGTGCATTCGTTCACTCACGAAACTCAAGTCAACCGAAGAGCGAAGCAGGGGGGTGAGGTGCAGGCCACTCTTGGCGATATGTGGGGGCGATAGTTTTTTTTTTCGGAGGGCATACAGCGATGGGCTCTTTTTTTTTATTGCTTCATCTTCACCGATAATTTAGCGTTGATGTCCATCTGAGTTTCGTGTGTAGGGTGTTTGTGTCTCAATCGCTTAGGATATACTTAAGTATCGTGTCAAAGTTGGAACCGCTGTGGTGAAGGATGTGTCGGTGAGGTTTTCAACATCAGGAAAACGAGAAGAAAATAAAAACAACACAGCAGGCAGCAGTCGCCACACAACCGAGAGAGTGCACTGCAGTCATAACAAAACTATATCCCGCAACAACCCACATGTCGGGAGCATATTATTGCGGGCGGTGGCGCGGTAACTTAAAACATGGTTTATAATATATAAATATATATATATATAGTGCATTCCACTTTCAACCACGGCTACGTTGTGAGCGGTCAGATTTATGGATCCTCGTTTCGTTATAAGTTACGTGTTGCAACGGCGCGTCTTTTGATGTATGTTATGCCTCCATCGGCCCCGGGGGTGGTGCGTTATCGTCCCCGGAATCTTAAAGACGATTCCCCGCGTTAAAGACGCTTTGAAAAAAAACGCTATGCGTCTTTAAAGCGGGGACGACTGTAGGTATGTATCCTGTGATTCTGCACCCTGTAGCCCAATTCACTTTGTTCGACACCATGTTTCAGTCATCTGCACCTCTCCAAGTGTCGGTGTTGCCCCACGTTGACCACTGTCGACAGGTTGTCTACTACGGACTGCTCCAGCAGTTCCTCACCCCTCGTGCCGTGTACCTGTTGGTATGGGATACGGCGAAAGCCAGCGAGATGAATGGCTTGAACCTTGAAGATCTTGCCATTGCTCCCAGGCTGCGTTGCTTGACTTTCCGTGTGCCGGACGCAAACATGGTACTTGTGGGAAACAAGTTGGACCGCGTTGCAAAGGCCAGGCGTACAGTAGCGGATGACTTAGAAAGTGAGAGCCGCCAATGGCTGAAGTCCTGGATAGAGAATGCGCCCGCACATCAACCCCACGGGCTTTGGTTGGAAGCCGGCGCAGTCTTGTGAGCTGCTCACCATCTGGCCTCGGCATCTTGGCACCGTCGTTCGGCGCGAGAACAGACTGGCCGTGCGGCAAGAGCACGCCAGAGCTTTTTCATCGAATCATATTCAACCCTGTCGATGACAAGAGGGCTGTTACCATGCATATTCCGCCGGGCTATCAAGTCGCCCTTGAGATGCTTGAGGAGCTGGCATCATCCAGTAGGTAAGGTCATCGATGCCATGTCTGTGTCGCCGCTTCATGTACTCTTATCACGTGTCCTAATATGTCCTTTTTTTCACGTCGCTGGCTAAAGCGATGTACTTTCGTATTGATAGTATATTAATGCTCCTAGTTTTGTGTTTTATCCGCATGAAATGATAGCGTTGCTGTGCCCGCTAATGCACTGCTGGATGGTGTACAAACCTTTGCTGGGCAGAATTTCGAGTATTGCGCCCCGATTCCGTGTTGGTGTTTGTTTTGTCATGCTGTCCCAGGTAGATTTATGGAAATAACACCCCCTTTTGCATTGCACATTTGTGGTTGTTAGGCGCAAGGCCGAACAGCGAACCCGTGGTATCACAAGAGCGGATTTGGAGCAAAAGTGGCAAGCCAAGGTGGCTGAGCTGAACAGTGCCGGAACGCCGGTAGCCGCCCCAGAAGCGGCCATGTCCGGTGCGATCTTGATCAGGTGAAATAATTGTCGGCTTTTTGTGGTATTTTGTTTCGTTTGTGAATGTTTTTCTCGAGAATTGTCCTTGTTACCGGGCATTCATGAATCGGAAACAGAGGCGATATTAAATAGGACTGAACATTGGGTGGGGCGCATGAGAAAACGTGTTGACGTTGATTAGAGCCGGCATCGTCAGCCAGTGGAATTAGTGCAGGTTTCACCTCTGCTCTGCATCCGGCCTGTTCTCGGGCTCGGCTTTGTATCATTCAACGTCTCTGTATGCAGGAAGTGGGAGGGCGGGCTGGTGGAATACGGCAGCTACGTCTTCCTCGACTTCGAATGGCTTGCCACACCTTGCTCAGCCACAAGCGAGACTTAGACGGCCACATTGATCTTGGCGGGATCCGGGTGCCGAACGATGCACGCGCACGCTTGGACCGGCTGGACAGAGATCATGTTTTCGAACCGAAACTCGCTGAAGGGCTTTGGAGTCCAGAGCTCGCGTCGCACCTTCTCCTGGCTCTGAAGAGTGCAGGGCTGACGTTTCCCCTACCTCAAGACTCCAATGGGGGCTTGGTAATCAATCTACGCATGGACACAACGCGCCTACCTGAGTATGGTATCAAGCTCGAGCAAGTACACAAAGCTAGTGAGCCCGACCTGAAGCTTACTGTGAAATGTTCGTTCAGTCTAGGGTTGCCCCTTGGCTTTGTCGAGCGTTTCCTAGCGCAGTGCTGCCACGTGGGCTATCCTTACCCCTTCTGGCGATATGGGGCTCTGATAGTGGATGACGGTGTGGGAAACGGCGGTTGTTCTCACTGAGTTTAGAGTACTCGGTGGAGGACAAGATCCTGGCATTGGAGGTGTTCGGAGGATGTGAGGAGGTGCATGCGTGGGCGGCTCTGTCGAAAGTCCTTTCCGTCGTGATCAAGATGCTCACGAGTTCCCTGGTTTACCATGCGAGCTGATGTTCTTCTGCCCATAGCACAAAACCAAGGGCATACCGATCAGGATGACCGATGTAAGCGCTCGATCTCGTTGCTCTAAAAGTGTTTGACATATTGGAGAGATGGCCCTATGGTAGCTCCATCCTCAAGGTAGTGACGGTGGAACTGAGTCCCAACAAATCAAATATTGTTTTGTCATGGCCAATTTTGTGCTGGCCAATCAGCACGGTAACTGCCACGCATCGCTAGAACGTACTGGCTCATCATGCAGGCTGTAGACGAGTGCTTCGGCACCACAGATGCAAGGATACTTTCACTTTCATGTATCTCACCCGTGCGCGCTCTCATGTTGACAGCCACGGCCGGGATCCTGCCTGGTGGAGGAAAGCTATATTTGCCAACTCTGCCAGGACCGTGCGGCGGGTATTGACCTGTTGGCGGCTGCTCTTCAGGTTTTGGAATTCTCAGACGAGAAATTCTTCGATGAACCGCTCCGGGAGCAGTTTGCCGAGAATGCCAAGAAGGTGGCTCGTAAGGATTGTGCGTTATGGCCCGGGATGAACTACGAGGTGGGGTTTCTTTTATTCGATATACTCGTAGCATAGTATGATGGTTGAGATGTTATGTACGTACGTACGAATATTGCAGTGATGAGATGCGGAGGAACAGGAACTTTCTACATATTTTCCTTGGTTGTGAGAGGCTTTTGGTGAGGATTCAGAGAGATTCGTTGTGTGAGAAAGCATGAAGGCGTGACTCGATACCGTGATGGTTTGACCAGCACGAGCACGCCCCCGATTAGTACAACACGACAACACGGATACAACACGCTTTTCCACACGTCTGTACGACTTTACCTACCCCTACGGCCCGTCATGGCCGAGCTGCTCTACACTCCCATCGCACACAACTGAGCC